CTGGTAGGAGGATCGGTGTCTCCCACTCCTTCTGCTCCACCTCCCTCCCCCTCATCCTCCTCCAACACTTCGGTCGCTCTCAAGGCCCCAGGACACTTCGTACGCAGCTGTGGCAAAACAGGGTGAATTGCCAGGCTGCAAGTTCCCGATGGCGCTGGTCCAGCTGCTCACGATCTTCTCCATGGACGCTTTCGTGGACCTGGTCAGGCCCACGCATCTGAACCCCCCCGTGGGTGTCACCCTCACGCTGCACATGTTCGCCGACGACCTCACGCTGCAGGTCATGTCCCAGCAGCGCAACCTGCTGCAGATGTCGGCTGACACCGTCCAGCTGCTCTGCGACACCCTGCGGGGCCTGGGCCTTCCCGTGGTCATGCGGACTGCCTGGCGGTCGCAGCTCACGACCCGAAGCAAGCCGGACGCACACGACGGGCCCCGCGGGCGTCTTCTGGAGGTCGCTGGCCGAGTTGGGCCGGATCTGCTCTTCGGCCTCTGCAGTGCGCACGCGTGGATGCGAAGTGTGAAGGGGCCCTGGAACACACAAATGAATACACAGAAATAAAAATATTCGCCATGTGTTCCCATATGTTCTGGGTTCTTGTCTTCCCCCCCACTTCCAATAGTTTGCCAGATGTTCTGGGGAATCGAAGATTGATTGTGTCTGTGTGTTTTTTTCCCTCCTGAAAGTGCTCGACCTTCGTCAAACTGCACCGTCGGTCGTGAAGTGGCTTGCCCTACAGGACTGCGAGGCCCCTGGTTGGCCACCACGGTCGGGCCGTGTCGAGGTCACGCCTACGACCCCTGGCCAGGCCACAAGAGCCCCGCCAGGGACTGGCGAGCGCCGATGCGTGGTCTGCTGCAGCCGGGTCTGAAGGCCCAGCGCTGGGTGCTGGAGCCACTGGCTCGCGCTGCGCTTCGGACCGCCGCGCGCGGGGCGCACTGCTCGCAGAAGGGGCTTCACCGGTGCGCGCACGCCGACCACTCTTACTGCCTGCAGTGTGGCGGCGCACAGGGCACCCTGCACCATCGGCACTGGTGGTGCCCCGCCTTGGCCGAGTCTGGCCATCGCTCGGACGTCCATTCCCTGTGTTTTTTGTTCAGTTTCGTGCGTGTTTTTTTTCGCCGAATGATCAAGGATGCTCCTCGATAGTCCTCGCCGAAGGGAAAATACACACGTCCGAGCGATGCCAAGGAGTAGCGCGAGCACGCTGTTCGTGGGGATACAAGGGCACGCACCCTAACGCTGCCCCGCCCGCGCTGCCGCCGCGCGACGACTCGGGCGCCTGGCGCGACAATCGTGAAGCACGCTCGGAGCATTGGCATCAGCGCGGTCACGGCGCACACGCACGGCTCGCGCAAGGAGCTTCGGCACCCGGGCGCTGCGGCGCAGAGCTGGGCAGGGTCACGCGGTGGCCGGTGACTGCCAATACTGTTGGGCCGTCTTCGGGCCTCCCCCTGTGATGGGCTTGCTTTCCACCACCACCACCATAAGTTGGAGGCGGAGGCGGTCCTTCTCCTCCTCCTCCTCCTCCTCCTCCTCGTCCTCCTCCTCCTCCTCCTCCTCCTCCTCCTCCTCCTCCTCCCCTTCCTCAACCTTCTCCTCCTCCTCCTCCTCCCCCTCCCCCTCGCCCTCCTGCTCCCCCCCAAACTTATGGTGGTGGTGGTGGGAAACGGGCCCATCACCCTGGGCCTCGCCGGACTGCTGGACGCGCCGAGCTGGCATGCCGCGCCGCGGGTGCTCGCTGCGGGCGCGGCCCCATTCTGCAAGCACGCGGACCACCTGCCGCTGCTGGCCGGGCCAGCGCGCGGGCGGCGCCAGAGCACCAGCGCCCCGGCGCGAGCACGTCGAGCTCTGGAAGAGGCTGCACCGCCAGATCGACGGGCACGGTGAGATGGAGCCGGGGCCTGGTGGTGCGCCGCCCCAGCGCGCCACGCACGTGAGGGGCCTCCAGCGCGAGGGCTCCTGGGAGGGGCGCTGCAACGACCTGGCGGATCAGGCCGCCAAGCGCGGACGGCGCCCACACGACCTGCCTCAGGCCACGGTGGAGATGCACAAAGGGGCCCTCGCCAGGCTGCGGCAGGTGGCCTCCTGGATCGGCAACGCTTCCAAGCTGCTCTTCGCGGGCGCGGTGGAGGCGGACCGCGTGGAAAGCCCCGCGGCGGCGCGCCGCCGGCCTGCGGCGCCGCTGGGCAGCCGAGCGGCGCCGCTGCGTCCGCTATCCCTGGACAGCCTGCTGCCCGCCCGACGCCGCGGCCGAGAGCGCCCGACTTCGCTATGCAGTGAGGAAGCGCGGCAATGAATGGTCTTAGGGTCGCTGCTCGGCTTACGCCGTCTCCGCCCGCGGTGCTAGGGCCCTCAGGCTTCGCGCGCGCGCGTAACGCAGCCGAGGCGGCGGCTCTGGAGCCATGATGGTTGTTCGCCTGAGACGTCCTCTTCGGCGCATGCGGGTGGCGCTGGCTCCGGGGTTGGCCTGGTGGGTGCCGCCTGAGACGTCCTCTGGCCCGCCCGTTGGCGGGGGCGGGCCATGAGGCCCCTGGGCCTGCCCCCGGCATCGAGGGCCCCACCGTGGCTGGCGCCTCCCCGAGGCCAACGTGGAGCCCTGGAGGGGGCCGAGGCGCCTCCGCCCTCGGGCCCCGCGGGCCTCGCGCGGCCCCCTGGCTGCTGTGGGGGCGGGGCCGCGGGCGGAGGAGGCGCAGAAGGGGCGCCTGGACCTGCTCCGGGCGCGCCGCCTGGCCACGCCGGCCCGCGCGCAGGGTGCACGGCGTGCCCGACGGCCCCCTCCGACGCCCCCAGCCGCGCCAGGCGGAATGGGGACGATCGGGGAGGCGCTCGGGCTTCCGGAGGCCCGCGCCAGCAGGCGCCGCGGCTTCTGCCCACCCCCCCACCTGCGGAGTGTGTCGGGGCGCCTCCTGCCCCCAGCCGCCCCGCGGGGCCTCCGCCCCGCGAGCGGGCTCGGGCCTCTGGAGGCTCGCGGTGCGAGGAGTCCTGGTCTGCGCGGGGTGCGGTTTCCTGCCTGACCACCCTCTGCCCCCTGAGGCCTGGAAGGCCTGGTAGTGCTCGGTGCTCGGGGTCACGCCGTCGAGCTTGCTGGACCCACCCTTGCATTCTGCCGTCTGCGCGGCGCTCTGGCCCAGCCGTCGGCCCCTCGCTCCCGTCTGTGGAGCGCACTGCAAAGGTCTCGCATCCAGCAATGGCGCGACGTACCTGAAGGCTCTTGGGGCATGGAGCGGCCCCATGACAGGGGAATGGAAAAAAGGGCCTCCTTGACCGCTCCTCCCTTCGGACGACGCCACTGATTGGCTCCGTCTCCGACACCTCGCCTCGCGGTTTTCGCCTCGCGCGTGGACTCTCACTTTCGCTCTATCTCATCGGGTCGCGCGTGCTCGCCCTTTTCCGTTCCCCCGTCCCAGCACACTCGAACTCGAGTTGGTGGTGCCTCGATGGCTCTACAGCGGTCCAGGTGCTACACTATCAAATGCACGGTCGCCAGGCGTGAGAGGAAAGCTCCAGCTCAGCATGCGGCTCCCATGTTTCCTGCAGCCCCCTGCGCCTGCGCTCCGGCTCGGAGAAGTTCTTGCCTACGAAGACAACGAAAGCGGAACCACGAGCACAGTGCTCAGCTGCGCGCTGCGGTGTACACGACCTGTACCTCTGTCACAACACCACTTCCCCACGCTCCCAGACCGCGACGCCCCTGTGCCAGACCAGCCGTGCCGGCAACCCCACCGCGAGGCCGCGCACTCGTGTCACGTGGCCACAGACGTGTGCGCCTCACCACCGTAGCTCCATGTTTCGGAACCCTGGGTTAGATCTGGCACTTGTTGCTCGCCGGCGAGATACCCTGATCCCGTGTCCATCCGCTGCCGTGCTGCAGGCACCGAGTGAAGTGTCTTTGAATATTTCCCTGTTCTCTGTGCTGGGCACCGACATCAGGTGCCACGCGTGCCGTGGCTCTTGCACGATCAGGCAGCGAGGGTATTGGGGGCCACGGCCAGGGGTGGGCGAACCACGACGACCACGGCCACGAACTTAACGAGCTCCAGGGACAGTTTTGATACGCGGGTCGAGAGTGCACCTCTTCCGGTCGAAGCTAAGCGGGACGCGCGAAGCTTGAATTAATCAGAGATGGGGGAGGGAGCTCCAGGGGCAGGGGGGGCGGCGAGGCTGGGGCCAGGGCCAGCGGTGGACCAGGGGAGAGGGAGCAAACGACGACCACCAGCACCGTGACGAAAGCAACGGGGTTTGGGGCCGGGGGGGCGCGAGCGGGCCGGGGCCAGGGCCAGGGGCAGGCCGGAGGGGAGGGGACGAACGACGACGACCGCCACCACAAAAATACGCGTCGGTCGGAAGAAGTAGGTAGAGGCATGAAGTAGGAAGGCGGATATAGTGGATTGGGTCCAGGTCCACCCCGAGAATAACAAAACACAGCAAAAGCATGCCGATTCTTGAAGTAGGAAGGCGCTTGAAGTAGATCGGGATCTGGAAATTCAAAAAAACCTACTTTCAACGACCGTCGTGAAACTTGCCCCAGATCCAGGGAGAGCGCAGGTGTGGGGCCAGGGCCAGGGGTGGGCCAGAGGACATGGGACGAACGGCGACGACCATCACCACCACCACCACCAAGAAAACATCCAGCTCAGTTGCCAGAGGAAGCAAGGCAGTTGGAGCCAGTGCCAGGGATAGACCATGGGAGAGGGGACAAACGACGCCGACCACCACCACCACCACCACGAAGAAAACACCCAGCTCAGGGGCCAGAGGGAGCCAGGTTGCTGGGGCAAGTACCAGGGATAGGCCATGGGAGAGGGGACGAACGACGACGACGACCACCACCACCACCACGAAGAAAACATCAAGCTCCGGGGCAAGGGGCAGGGGCCATAGGCCGGGGGCAGAGGGGATGAATGACGATGACCGCCACCACCACGAAAGCATAGTGCTCCGCGGGACGGGGGCAGAGACAGGGCTGGGGCCAGGGTGCCATAGGGTCAGGCGGAAG